AGCCAAATTTCTTTCCCTGGAGCATTTTTTTCATATCTGCAAAGAGCCAGTAGTTGCTGGGGTCCAAATCTGGGGAGTACGATGTGTGGGGAAACAATTCAAAACGTAATTCATTCAATTGAACCATCGTGTTCATCGACTTGTGACACGGCGCATTGCCTTCGTGAAATAGCAAACGCGGCACCCACTTTGAAAGCAATTTGCACATACCCAAATTTTCATGCAAAATTGTGAAGATACTACCTTCTGATATCTTCAAGGCATCAGCTATTTCACACAACTTAAGTTTACTTTAAAACTATTTTGTGACATTTTTTATGTTTTCCGGAACGACTGCTGATTTTGGGCAACCAGAGCGTTCAGCATCATCGCTGCTTGTATGACCGCCTTTAAATTCAGCATACCAGTCAATGATAGTTGATTTCCCTGGTGCAGAGTCCCTATAATGCTTATCAAGTCACTTTTTGGCTTCAACAATATTTTTTCGGATTAAAAAACAGTGTTTAATCAACACACGAAATTCCTTTCTATCCATTGTCTTCAAAATTACGAAACTGGGGGTACTAAAATGACTGTAACTTCTAAACTATTGGTCAGAATACCATGAAATTTTGACACGTACTATTTGAAGGTTAGTATTATTCGAAAATAACGTGGGTCTGTCACCAGTGTCGCCATATATGTATCAAACCGGGGACTTATTGAGTGACGTGTTACATATATGATTAACTCTGCTCTGGTCAGAACAAGGAAGAAAGATGACATGAGAAGGGCACTTTTTTTGAAACAGTGCATAAAACAGATCAAAAAACTGTTTAACTACTAATTTATATTATTAGATAGATTAATTATGTGACTATAACTATGGATAACACGTATCCTTTTTATATTTTTTTCCATTTATTTTTTTATAAATTTAAATGGGAATTGATGATTATGCAGAGATTAATATAATAAAACATAATGATATCATATATTAATATCTTCAATTATTTCTTCGCGTACAAAATTATAGTATTACTAAGTTACTCTTACATTAAGACCGAGGTAGTATCGAAATATTCACATAAAAAATTAGATGAAAATTACAAGTCAAAAATAAAATACAATTTTCTAATTATTCAAAATTAATGGAAACATATAATAATAATTTAGAAAACTTAAAGGATTGAAAAACCAACGGTGAAGTTTATGAAATACAATTTTACAAAAAAAACTCCCCAAGTATTGCATTTGCCATCTTTTAAAAATAAATTATTTAATTACAAAAGAAAATAAAAGTAAACTTTACCATCTTATAGAATATGTCCAATTGAACATGCTTATAATCCATTTTAGAAGCAGATAAGTAATTGTTCAGAAAATAGTAATAATTAAAGTTAGTTATACTACGTATTTTAAATTCTAAAAATTAACATAATTATGTATAAACAATTAGCTGCATGGTTAAATACACAATTCCAAATTATTCTACTTTTTTTTAATTTTCAATTACATTGAGCTGTCACTATTTAAAATATCGAACAATTATGTAATTACTGAAGATATATGCTAGAAGTATTATTATTCGTAATATAAAAATTATATTGTATCTGTTGTAATATTTAATTATTTTTATAATACATTATATACATACATCTTATGTCATGGCATCGAGAAATTAGTACAAAATACTTATCTTATATATTTTATTTATTATGTTTGTAAAAAGAAAAGAAATAACGATTACTAAAATTTTCTGTGAAATGTACATATGCAGTTATAATATGTGAGTTTATTCAAAATTCACGTATACCTCCGAAAACTGTTTATGCGCGGAAAGATTAATACATTACTAACTATTTCGAATCATATTCCTAATTTACAGTAATACACATGTTGGAGATCCTAACCGTATGTTCTCTACCCAATCCCGTTTCACTTTCTCAACTCCTGTTTGACAATTAACAAATCAAAATTCTGAAGAACCTCAAAAAAAAGTTCAGAAACTTTATTCATGAACTTTCCATTCGCTTGACATTCAAATTCTTTCAACTACTCCACCGTGTCAATTATACTTTGCTATATGTTAAGAACTAAGGTAGTATTAGTTATGTATCAATAAATAAACTATTTGAAGTTAAAACGCATTCATTCGAATTCGGTTCTCCAACTCAAATTACTCGAAGTATCGATTAATCCTTCAATCTAATACATCAATTTGCTATATCGAGTTAATGTAATGAAACTAATATTTTGAATTTTCTATTAATGTTCATTTTTTAACTACTTGATTACATCTTCGTAGAATTACTAGTGATCCCATGGTAGCCAGTGTATTGAAAGCTTCTTTCCATTTTTCCTCTTGTTTCCACTTTCCACAATTTAATTCCAATTTATTTGTTTCAAACAAAATCGTTTTATTGATAACGCGATGAGACTTCTGAAGGCGTCCAAAGCTTTGGATAAAAACCGTTCCAAATAATTAGATAGGAAATCGAGCAGCGTTGTGAATTCATTTGAATATTCGGGAACAGAGTTGTAGAGAATGACCTTTTTAGTTTTTACACCGTGAATACCGGTACGATTTCACAAGGACAAAACAACTCGGTCAACAGTGTCGCACACGACGGATGAAATGATCTTCCAGTGGGATCCTGATGTGCCACTCGTCGTCGATGAGAACATCGAGCTGCCGCAGTTGCAACTGGTTAAAAATTATACGGCCGATTGCACGCAGGTCTACTCGACCGGTAAGTGAATATTTCATGTCGACGATACTTTTCTTCGTGAAACGAGCCTTTTATGTTCCCTTAATTAACGTTCAATTGAAGATTGTTGAGGAAGAAGGGGCGTACGAATGAGAAACAGATTGATTTTTGTGCGAATGCCTCTGTAAACTGAGCGATGTTTGTAAAGAATAATGTCGATGTTCCGTGGGGATTCGTATTTGTAGAAACACTATAAGAGTAGAACGTGAACTAGAATACTGAAAATATGAAAATTGAAAAGAATGTTTTTGTAACTGATACACAACTGCGATTCCTAGTCGAGGTGAACAAAATTAAAAAAAGGATTTTACATTTTTTACTTAATAATTAGTTACTTTGGAATCTTTTCAAATATCTATAATAATTACATTCTTACATTATTAGTATTGCTTTCGTTCGTTAAATAACACATTTAAAAGAATTTCTAACAAAATGTTGAACGTAATTATATGTACTAAAGGTTTCGTGTAATAAAAGCAAATAAACTTCCAGACAAAATGATAGTACATACAGTAAAATCTGTTTTTGTGCGGTCCTTTTTTATGCGATTTTATTTTTGTGCGATTTGTTTTGTGCGATTTATTTTTATGCGATATATGAATCTCAGCGGCGTTAGCGCAAGTTTAATGTTTCCTATCAATGTACATATATGTACATGTTGTGTATTAACTCTGACTACGTGGTCTCCTTGAGGACGATGTATCTGATTGAGGACCAAACTGTCAATGATAGTGACATTATCAATAATTTGGTAGATTATGAAAATGGATAAGAAGAACCGGAATCTATTACAGCAGATAAAATATATGCAGGGATCCAGATTTCTAAAAAATTGGAAACGCATTTTCTTAAAATAGATATTAATGCGGAAAGAAGCTTGAAATTCCAAAAAGGGCTGAGATCGTGCATGTCTCGTTATCGTGACGTTTACAAGCAATTGACCAATCAACCGTCGTCACAAAAACTGATCATTGACTTTATAGTACCAAAAAACAAATCAATTGAAATTCTATCTTCAAGCGACAAAGGCGATTTTGAACCAATTCATCACAAGAAGATGCGCGTTTTGAATTACGACGAGTATTATTTAATTTAATTGAAAGCATTTTCTCATTTATTTCGTAAACAATTGATGTATTTTCTAAATGCGATTTTTTTTATGCGGTCCCTTTCCGTCGCATAAAAAGAATTTCAGGTAGTATATCGTACAAAATTTTTTATTATATGTAAGTATTTGTAAAATTTCCGACTATTTTTTTGTACGATTTCTTTTATGCGGCCCCTATCAACCGCACAAAAACAGGTTTTACTGTATATGCAATCTTCAGATTCCCATAAAAAAGAAATATCAATGTACATAATTGGGGAACTATCATCTTGTGATAAAAAGATAATATATTCTATATTTCTTTACATTTTATATCATGAAAGAGCAATGCTTGCCGATACCACGCGTGACGCTATCACAGGGGTGCTCTACGATAGATATGTCTGGATCTATTCATGATTAAAAATTTCCTTGCACTGTCAATAATTTTTATCTTTACAGATAATTAAAATTATTAATGTTACGTTTACCTCTATAAATATTTTTTAAATGTACATATAATAACAATAATATATGATATAATAATTACTATTTTGTCAATAACTTTCCACATCACCCAAGAGGTACTATTGTTGATGCTCTTTTTTAAAAGTGGTTTCTTCTATAGGCCTATTCCACTGAACGCTAATAAAAGCGATAATAAAGTGCGTGATTTGGCGTGATTTAGAAATCGAAACCATAAATGTTCTAATTTTCATTTGGTCTTCTGGGATGTTTGCACGATTCTATAAGGAATGGTATATCTACAGATAATTTAGCAAAATTAGTATAATATAATATTAGAATAATGGTTCATATTCTTCAAAGAAAATCTGGCAAAACGGAAAAAGCTAAAGAATATTAGTTTCTAATCGACATTTAAATAATTATAGCTTGTTGTGAAAAGAATCTACGTAACTTAGCAATTGAGAAATAACTTGTTGATCTTTTGCAGCTTCAAAAGAATATTTAAATGGTTACATTACCATGTCAAAGTTAATTTAGTTTTAATTCTTCATATTTTATAGCACAATTTTCTTGTAAGAAATAAGATCTCTTTTCCTTTTACCAAGAATTTTTTAAAATATTTTCCTGCACTGAGCCACTTAACTTCACAATATAGAGGCACAGTTATGTACATTGCGTTATGTCACATTGCGTAATAATATTAATGATTTTTGTCATATGATAGTTTGCCTTGCTCTGAATAGTTTCACAACTTTTCCACATAACACTTCTGAATAAATTAGGCAACGAATGACAGGGAACTTAAAACCTCTCTTTACTTGATCAAACAATCCATTCTTTCTGCCCTTGCTTGTGCGCCATCGGCAATGATAACTAAACATTTATCAAAATTAGTATCTAACTTTTTTAAAGTTTGTTCAACGGCTTTGAAAATATCGACTCCTGTTGTTTTTAAATGTAATGGAACGAAATCTGAAAGCTCCTTGACATATGAAAAATCGTATTGCACAATTCAAATAAAAAAACTCAATTGACTTTCATGTCGATTATCAGTGCTTTCATCAAGAAAGAATGAAAAAATGACATAAGTAATCAAGAGAAGTTTTTAACTATTTTGGGACTATACTGCTTTGTCACTCGAAGGAATGTTAACAGCTTCTCCAAGAAATTTTCAAATGACTCTAAAATGCTGCAATGAGACATTCTTTTATAGATTTTCTTTCGCAAAATTCCTTTGAATTTTTTGCGATTAAATTTAGGATTGTATATAAAGCTTTAAGATTTTGTATTCAAGGTGTAGCATTTTCAATATTTTAAATAAAAATTTCTTAATAAATCAATTTTAATCCTACAATTAAGTTAAACTTCTCTTTGTTTATATATTTCGAGCACTCATGCAAATTCTTAATCTCATAGTGCCTAAGCAGGATGTATTTTTTAACAATGCTGGGTTTATACCCACACAAATGACAACCAACTTTATCATCGATACGCGTGAAAAAGCTTTCTTTCGTTTAGGATAGAACTCTTCACTCACAGTGTCAAAATAACACAAAATTTCGTAAATCTCAGACTTTAAAACCTAACACGAGACTTTAATCATGTTGATGCATGTCTGGTTGTTAAGAAACAGTTTATGAGGCAAAGTAGTAGTACGTGCCTAACATAAACCCACAAAATTGAAAGAACACATAATTATATTAAGATAAAATATTAGTCAAAAATTTCTTTTCGCTCAAACGACACAGGAGATCAAATGAAAATTAAAACGTTTATGGTTTCCATTTCAGTTTTTCAACCAAGTCACATAGTTTATTATCGTTTTAAATCACTTTTAAAAAAAGTATCAACAGTACCTCCATGGATGATGTGGAAAGCTATTGATAAAATTGTGATTATTATATCTTATACTATTGTTATTATATGTATATTTAAAAGATATTTATGGGCGTAAAGATAACATTAATAACTTTAATTATCTGTGTAGCTCAAAGCGTTACAGTAAAACATGTAAATATTGTATATAAGAAAATTAGCTATAAGAGAAAATGTATATTTCCGTACGCCGCATGTCCACCGTACCTCGGGCAGGCCATATCATAAAAAACTTTTGTACGCGGCAATGCTCACCCGTGATTGGACGGACGAAGGCGACAAAAACCATATAAATACCGGCAAAAATCATACCTAAGCCAGGCGTGTTTCGAAAAGAAATAGTATGGAACGTCTCATCCTTAAAGTAGCCAGACCTTAGCGGACCAGACCCTCCATTACTTTCAAAACTATCCTAGTCCCGAACAACCGCACCTTTGCGGACCAGGCTTTCAGCACTAAAAACCAAAAACCAATCTCTGTAGCAGCCGGACCTTCGTGAGCCTAGCTCTCCGTCCTTCTAGTTAACTTCTTTCCCAGCCTTGAAGTAAAGGTTTTCTTACGTTTTAGCCGAACCCTCGCCCGCGACGCGACCGAGTTAACGCGAGCAACCTATGCACTTTAAACTAGCGCGTTACATTTGTAAAAATAAAAATTATTGACAGGGAAAAGAAATTTTCAATTACGGATGACGGATTACGGATTCCAGACATACCCATCGTAGGGCGCCCTTGAGACACAGCGTCATGCGTGCGATCGGTGGTGCGATCATTGAAACCTAGAGCGATAGTGGCGGTGTCTGAAGAATCAGCCCGAAATGTGTAAATAATTCCGAGCACTGAAGCAAAACAGCTACTGCTTGCACGATCTTGACAAAGTAAATTTCAATATAGTTTTTACAATTTTATTAAAGTAAATTTCAATATATTTCTTACAGTTTATTTTAACTTATAAAAATGTTATTTCCATATTATTACCGTATCCAATAATGTCCAAATCACTGCAGTGCACTACCATCTCCAATGGCAGGGAAACTTAAAATTTGTTGGTTTTCTTAAATCGTGGTAGTAATAATGAAAGCCATCAGATTCATCTAAATTAAATTTCTTATTAGCAAATATGATCCTTCATCATTTCTGTTCATTTACATTTCATACGTTCATTTTTACACACTGTAAACGGTAGGTTTCGTTCTGTTGCTTAAACTAAGGTTTTCGTTGCAGTTTCTTTCGCTTCAAATATAGATACTGGTTTAATACACAATAAACATTCTTAATATTAATTATTAACCGAACCTTTTTAGCAATATACCTTACAGTCATACTAGAATTTATCGAGGTGTTAAATTTGTTGGTCGTTCAGAACTATTTTTCTCTTCTTACTTTTCAAGATTTTATAATTAATTTTATACCTAAATATTGTTCTTCCCCTAATTTTAATGTAGTATGAAATTCACTTGTATTTAACCTCTTTACACAGCTCATTATAAACAATTTACTTTCCCAATAAATTTATTTATATTTTTATATTCGGTAGTTTAATTACGACTAAGTAAGAGGCATAGATTTTCTATTTGTTGAATTTTTAATCACGCTTATGATTATTCATATAATCAAATTCAATGCATCACTTTATGGTAAAACCATTAAGAAATATAGAACGGGCTATCTTTTTGTTTGAAGATGTATATGAAAAAAACAAATACTATAATTTAAACTAGTTATTAATTATTATTACTAATTAGAATGACATTGCTCTTAAGAGCAGACAAAATAAATAAAAAAAATAACAAGGGCAATATAATAGTATCGAACTGATATTTTGCAAACCTCCGAAGTAAAAGTTGCGCAAATTTATCACTCAAGAACAACAAATTCTCATATACAATATGTTTTTGTATTACAAAAAGATTTTAAGATATCGAGAAAAGTATTTTTTGCATCCTCAACTTTAAGGACTATTTTCATCTCCTGAATATCACCTCCTCAATAGTTGCCGATAAAAAATATAAGTGGGACATTAAAATCAGTTACTAATACTTAAAAAAACTCCCTGGTTAGAACAGTTGCGCTAATATGAAAGACATATCTGATGCTGGAAAAAATTTCCTTATACAGTAAAGACTGGATAACTGCGACAAACGATGGACTGGATAACTGCAACGTTACTATCCCCACCACTTAGGGGGATCCCCCTTGAATTTTGACACTTGACGAGCGAGCAGCGTATGTAATGTAATCCGAACCGGCGTATCGATGTGACAACACTAATGCAACAGTAAAACTTTTTTATTTCTTGGTTTTACTAAATATTACTTTTACCAATGTAATTGTGAAATTCTCCTGATCAAAATAAGACCAAACACGGCATAATTTGAACAACATTTGTTTATGTAGCAATATTGTTTGTTTTTTCGAGTGTATGGAGGCGCGATTTTGTATGGATGCGAAATAGACTTACTTGATATACAACTAGGTACATGGTATTATAGTTTTAGTTATAAAATATGTACAATAATTAGAGATGAATTATTAGATTAATTTATAAAACGAAGAATTAGAGATTAATAAAAGTTTTTTTTGTTATTAGGTAATTTCACTTGCCTTGAGGTAATCTTCGTCTTAAAACGTAGGCTCGGCTACTACTTGTTTCACACTTATATTCCTACTTGCTTGATCGTCATTATGTCGGTAAGTTTTTGAATATTAAATTATTAATACATACATACAGTGAAATTGAAAAGTTATTAATTCTCTCACATTATAATTTTATGGAATGTTAACCTCTAATTTTGTAGGATCATGTAACGTAACATTCATGTGTCATATGTCAAAGACTAGAAATGTCTCAATAGACTGCAGAAGATGTTGCAAAATTACAATTATAACTTTTGAAATCATGTAGATCCACGAATTCTCGAAATGATCTATGTACTTTAAACCAATCATTATTCTAATTTTTTTAAATGAATTATTCTACATTTTTTAAAATGTTAGTCGATCACGCGAATGTGTCCCACCAGAGCAAAGAAAACTTAATGTTACTAAAATGAAATTTTTGAAACCTTAAAATTAACTGAAGATCGACCAAATAAAAACTGGGAAATTATTTCGAGTTACATAAAAATATCTAGATGTGCAGATATCAATAAAAGTCAAATAATCAATTAACTCTTTGAAGCACACGATTTTAAAGTAAATAAAAACCCTAGTTGCACAGAATGTACAATATAATAATAAAAATAATATTATATTATTATTATTTAATATTTTGGCATTTACCGTTGGTGCATAGGGCGTCGTCAACATAATAAAAAACTTTAAATAAAATATTAAACTCTTTGACTACGTGTAACTTTTCGAGATGGATTTAAAATATGGCCCAGCCTGCATCAAAAGCTAAGCAAAAGTTGGGACAGTTTTTAACCCACCTAGCCCTAAAGAGTTAACTGTAAATAATTGACAAACTAACGAATTTGCAATCTAAAGACGTAAAAAGACAATGATAGAATATTTTATAATTAAGCAGGAAAGAAAAAATTCCTTCGCGTAGTTTATTTATCTAACAAGCGAAACTTTAAAAGCTATTGATCTTACAGAAAAATAATAAAGTTTTAATTTTTCAGTTATAGTTATGATTTTTCAGAAAATTTCCTATATGAAATTTTAGACATCATTTCCACTTATACATTAACCCTTTCGCTACGGTGATTTTTTCTGAGAAATGTGATTATGGTCTTATTTATTATAATAAAAAGTCAGATATTCTTATTTATAAAAAGCAAAGCTAAAGCCTTTCTATACAGTTTTTTATCCTTCCTTTATGTACAAAGGATAATACAAATGACAAATGTTATAACACGCCGTCATAACTCTTTTTTATAAAAACTTTGTAATCGCTAGGAAAAAACTCTGTTAGTATAAAAGTGCTATAGCTATAGGCGCCTATAGGTGCTCTCAGTAATACAAACACAAAATTTCTAAGCGCCTATAGGCGCCCACAGTAGCCAAGGGGTTAATGATATGCATACTATTAAAAAATCACAACTTAATACAACTTATAGAACTTGCAGAACTGCAAGCTGTTTACCGTTATTTTTGACAAATTTAATAAAATTCTACTTTGTCTAACAGCAGAATATTTTATTTATGGTGATATTGTATTACTCTGACGCAATTAAATAATATCATATTGACAGAATATTCGTTTTAAGGAAGTACAGCGTCATTTATATTAAATGTTAGTGTTAAATAATACAATCATAACAAATAAATAATAGAAATAAAATTTCACATGAGCCAGACAGATTTATGTGTATTTACAGACAACTACCTCTGAAGTATTTTCTCTCTCTTTATATTTAGCTTAGATTTTCAAGTTTCTATACAGGGTGTTACCTGTAACGCTACTTACGATTTTTCTCCCACTTGCAGCCACCTTACGAAAAAAAGTTTAGAATAAAATTTGCAGGGTATGAAGTGCACAATAGATATTAGTAAAGCAAATTTTGAAAACAGTTTGTTCTCTTGGCAAAGTCAAGGTCACTTTGGGTTTCTTAAATAGGAACATACATTTTTTTTATTCGTAGCTTTAGAGGATATTGAGACGAATTCAAAACATATATTACATGATATTTTTATTAACATATTACTCGATTTACAGAAGGGAATATTACGTGATTTAAAGACTGAAATATTACATGATGGATGGCGGCATACATTTTGAACATGTAATTAAATAAAGTGTATTTTTCTTATATTCTAGTCGCGTGTTTACATTCAGTAATCTCTTTGGAACCAAATAATGGCTACCCTACCAAAGTCAAAAGCTAAGTACTTTACATTTTTCCACTTCTGTAAATCGAGTAATATGTTAATAAAAATATCATGTAATATATGTTTT